CTACAGCAATGGTTCTCAACTTTCCTTATGTTATGACCCTTTGATACAGTTCTTCATGTTGTGGTGACCCCCCCCCCTTCCATGTTAGGATTCCAGCCACTTCTCCAGCTATATGACCACACACGTGCAGTTCAGTAGCCAAGTAAGGGGCTTACATCCTACGTCATCCTTGCCCTGCGTGATTGCAATCTGCGCATGCGTGGTGTAGCTCTGTGAGCCCACATGTGCATGTGCAGGGGAATCCTTAAAAAGCCGCTCACAGGCTCATCCTCGCTCTTCTGCTCTCTCCTCCTTCCCCATCTCTCCCTTCTCCTCAAGTGTCTCTCCAACAGGCCTGGTCACACTCTCTTCTGTCCCTTCCTTCTAATAAAACTCTGCTCTGATAACGGGTTTTGTCATGCCTCCTGACTTTTCCTCACAGAGTAAAAGCGCCACATTTAAAACCAACACCCCAACCACAAAATTTTTGTTGCTACTTCATAACTTTAATTTTGCTATTGTTATGAATCATAATGTAAATATTTGATATGCAACCCCTGTGGAAAGGGTCATTCAACCGCAAAAGGGTCGCGACCCACAGGTTGAGAACTTCTGGTCTAGAATGTCCCATGAGGCTACATATAAGCATGTTATATTAACATATAACATATGTTATATGTTAGTATAATAGGCTACATCTATACAATGTTAACAGTCACACATGAGTCTTAAAAGGAATAACTTGAAACCATGGTTTTTATTTGTGAAATATTTTATATGGTGGTGTCTTTATTAGTATGTGATCTTGGAGATGAACGAGAAAGGAAAAGTTGTAGCTTAACAGTGATGTGTTTTTGTGGCAGGTTGACAAGGGGTCAGTTGTACTGGCTAGTTTAATGTCAACTTGACACAAGCTAGAGTCATCTGAGAAGAGGGAACCTCAACTGAGAAAATTGCTCCATAAAATCAGGCTTCAGGTACGCCTATAGGGCATTTTCTTAATTAATGATTGATGTGGGAGAGCCTGGCACGTTGTGGGTGGAGCCACCCCTGGGCTGGTGGCCCTGGGTTCTATAAGAAAGCAGGCTGAGCAAGCCTGGAGAGCAGGCCAGTGAGCAGCACCCCTCCATGGCCTCTGCGGAAGTTCCTGCCCTGCTTGAGTTCTTGTCCTTCATCCCCAAGCTGCTTTAAGTCAAGATGTTTCATCAGAGCAATCGTAACCCTATCTAAGACACATGGGGTACCAAAGCTCTTGGCAAAGCCCTATATAGTAGAAGGGGTTTCTGGTGACCACACAAGTCCTTCCTCCTAAGTATGCGCATTTCCTGATGTCCTCAGAAGTTCAACATACTCCAGTGTTGATCTGAAAGGCTAGGATGGAGAGGCTGAAGAAATGGTTCAGTCAGTAAATGGTTTGCTGAGCAAGTGTGAGGATGCGAGTTGTGATCCCCAGCACCCACTTAAAAAGCTGGGCAAGGAGCACACCTTTGTGCAGCACACCTTTAATCCCAGCACTTGGGAGACAGAGGCAGGTGGATCTTTGTGAGTTTGAGGCCAGCCTGGGCTACAGAGTGAGTTCCAGGAAAGGCGCAAAGCTACACAGAGAAGCCCTGTCTCAAAAAACAAAAACAAAGCAAAGCAAAACAAAAAAAACAAAAACAAAAACAAAAAACAAACAAAAAACACAAAAAGCTGGGCAAGGTATGTAGTCCTGGTGGGGAGGTGCAGATGTGACCAGCCAGCCTAGCTGAGTCAGTGAACCCCCAAGTCCTACTGATATACCCTGTCTCAAAATAAGATAGACAGGGCTGGAGAGATTGCTCAGCAGTCAAGAGTGCTTGATGCTTCTACAAAGGACCCCAGTTCAGTTCCGACACCTACATCAGGCAGCTCACAGTGGCCTGGGGCTGCTACCGTAGGGAGTCTGTTGCCTGGGACCTCTGTAGGCACACACATGTATGCGCATACCCATCAAGACACATAATTAAAAATATAATAAATCTTTTTTAAATAATAAAACAAGGCAGACAGCTGGAGAGATGGCTTAGCAGTTAAGAATGATTGTTGCTCTTGTGGAGGATCTGAGTTCAGTTCCCAGCACCCATGTCAGGGAATTTCACAACCTGTGGAGGTCCACAAAGGTTTCCTAGTGAGATCTGAGCTTGCTTTACCCAGCAGGGCTGCATTAGAGGACGGTTTTTTCTCGTGTGTGTTTTTCCGGTGTTTTTGGAGGGTGTCTGTTTTTGTGTTTTGTGGGGGGTGTTTTTTTCTCCCCCTTTTGGTTTTTCTATAAAGCGTTTTTTAGGAGAGAGAGGGGGGGCGTGTGGTCTGGTCTCGGGGCTCTTGCGGGTCTCTTGTGTTTTTCTGTCTCTCTCCCCTCTATCCTTCTATCTAAATCTCTTATCCCTCTCTCCTCAAGAGTACCCTGTTGTAAAATGTGGGAGCCGGTCTCCCAGCTGGGCTCCCACAACAACCTCAGCACCAGGGGATTCGATGCCCTCTTCTGGCCTCCGTGGGTACCTGCACACAAATGTCAGACACAGGGAAGAACACCTTTACACATCAATTAAAAAAAAAATCTTAAAAGGGTCGGAGGTGGGCAACTCCAGAGAAATGACACCTGAGGTTGTTCTCCAACACTTGTGAACACACACATGTGCACTCACTAGAAGAGTAAGACGGATCGCTCATTGTCATAAAGTGCCCCAAATCTGCCGTCACGGCAGATAAGATGCAGCGCAGGCTAGTGAAAACTTTGGGACTCGGACAGATGTTCACGACTTGAAGTCTTAGGGAAGCTATTTGTGCTCTTAGCAAAGTAAAATTTTCTCACTAAGCCTCTGTGTCCTTGCTTATAAGAGTAATGGCAAAATTTCCTTACTGGGTGTAGTCAGCACTCAATGATATAATATAGGACAAATGCCTGACTTTTTTTTTTTTTTATGGTTTTTCGAGACAGGGTTTCTCTGTGTAGTTTTGGTGCCTTTCCTGAATCTCACTCTGTAGACCAGGCTGGCCTCGAACTCACAGAGATCCGCCTGGCTCTGTCTCCCAAGAGCTGGGATTAAAGGTGTGAACCACCACTGCCCGGCCAAATACCTGGCTTTTGATGTACTACAGTTTAATACCACATATGTAAAATAACAATATAGGTATATTCATAGAAAAACAATTTTGAGGCCAGGTGTGTGTTAGACCTAAGGTGGGGGGTGGGGTGGGAGCGGAAACAATTCCACTACTGTCTGGTTAAAGCAAGCTGTATTTAGAACTGGCAAGCAGGCTGTCTCTCCCAAAGTCGGCATCTCAGAGAGCAGCTGCTCATTGGCTTTTGAGGTCCCGCTTATGGGGAAGGGTTAGAGTTGATAGAAAACAGCTATGGAGATAATAAACAGAAGAGTGGGGGACTCAGGGCTCAAGGCTGCCTGTAGGGTAGGTGAGTGCCTTAGTATCACCTGGACAGAAGATTAAGGGACCAAGGGCTCAAGGTTATAAAGTATGGAGACATAACAACTAAGTATAACGATGTGGCTCCTGTTTTGGTTTCCCATGTGGTGGCTCATGCCTTTAATCCCAGCACTGGGAAGGCAGAGGCAGAGGCAGACCAGTCTGTCTTTGTGAGTTTGAGGCCAGCCTGGTCTACATGTAGAGAGACCCTGTCCAAAAAAAAAAAAAAAAAAAAGGAAGAAGGAAGACATGAAGAAAGGAAGAAAAAGAAAGGAAGGAAAAAGAAGACGGGAAGAAGAAAGAGGAAGGAAAGAAAGAAGGAAGAAAAGAAGAGAAAACAGCTTGGATGTACACCGACAGCAATCATTATTTTGTTGTGTTTAGTTGGGGCAGAGACTTGTCTTTTTCTTATATACACATACATGATACTACAAAGTTTAAACACAGCCAGCCAGTCAGCCAATAGGGTGGACATAGAGTGTCAAGGGCCCTCCTTACTCTCCTGTTCTGATTTCCATCTCTTGCTAGTGTATACCCAAGCATTTCGACCTAAGTAAGCAACCTGACTCCTTGCAAGGGAACGGTAGTCCCCCTCTGAGAGGCATCACAAATGACCTTACTGAACCGGCACCGTGTGCCTTTGGCCCAGCTTCCCTGTGACTTGCGCATATGGAGGGAGCCCTTGAACTGCTGTGGTATCTCTGTTCCACTGTGCAATCACGAGTCTGCACAACCCTATCTTTAAAAAGTCTCCTTTTC